TCTTTGTTAAGGTTTATTAAAGCTAAAGACTGAACCCGGAAATAACCGCGCTTTTGATGGTGTTTATTTAAGTTAAAGATTGAACCTGGAAATAACCTGTGAAGGTTTATTAACAGCTAAACACTGAACCCTGGAATAATAGACATTAGTTAAAGTTAAAAAGAAATAACCAACTTTAATAACGTTTATTAAAGACTGAACCCAGAAATAATGGCACATTTGCAAATATTTATGAAAGCCAAAGACTCAAGATGGAAATAAGGGCGCCTTTAGTAAAGCTAAAGACTGAACCCTAAAAAACTGAATGTGGAAATGACTATGCCTATGCTGACAGTATCACTGAGTCCCACAGTTACAGTAGTACTATTATGCTTGGAGTTTTTTCCTGACTCTCTCTCTTCTGCTGGATAGGTTGCTTGTGAAGGGAACATCCACATACCTCAGACGTCCTCAACAAAAATACCTGCTAACACTGAAGATAACAATGTGGAAATGTATAACGGGTAAGGGTGCATCCTCCTTGGAGTATCTACAGTATGGGTTGGGGTTGCAGTACATTTACTGCTGTATCTGTAGAGCAGGTTGAATAAACAGACTGACACCTGACGTTCGGTGCTTTCAGGTTGCTGCAGCGCGTGAGCGGGGAGCTTGCAGAGTGGTACTTTCAGGACGGGCGGGCCGTCCTAGCCGCATGCTGTCACCTGGCTGTGGACAACATAGAGGTGTGGAGCTTTCCCCAGCACACATGACAGGGACTCCAGTTTCGCTGTGACTAACAAGCCCTAAAACTGATGCCGCAGAAACAGAGAAAAACCGAGAGCGAACAAATTGACAAGTTAAAAAATAAAGCAGAGTTGTCTAATATTTTCGGCACAGGAGTGTAGTTAATTTGTTTTAAACAGACATCACTCCAGAGGTTCAAATCTGATTTTTTCTTTCACAACACACAGATGCTGCATTTAGTATATGAAGGAAATCATCCACTGACAAAAAATTTCTGACTGTGTGTGTGTGTGTGTGTGTGTGTGTGTGTGTGTGTGTGTGCGTCCTTCCTGATCCAGCTGGCCATGGCGAGTCTGATCCGGGGCAACGAGCTTGAGCTGGCCGTGTGTGCCGGCCTGGTGCTGGAGGAAGCGGCTGGTCCGACTACTCACTACGCCCTGGAACTACTAGCCATGAAGTACATGACAACCCCCACGTGGTAAATATATCTATGTACATATAACATGCATCACTGTGCACATGTACAAACATGTAACGTATGTGGCCATGCATGAATATTAAATGTATAGACATATATATTGCCACGGGGCAACAGACAGCTGTGGTGCCAAAACGAATGGAAGGAACCCCTTTGCAAACCTGTTTCCCAGACGGACCACGTATGCAGAATATTCTTTCCATAATGCTGAACATTCACTGCACATTTCACTTGCTCCCAGCTTTCCATGTGTTGGAAACAGGTACTATGTTTTCCTTGCATGTTGCCCATTTGTATCTGTTCACGGCTGCGTGTTAGACCTTCTTGTCATCGTTCCTAAAGTCAGCCCTCAAAGCGTCTGCTGCAGATTTATGTTTGAAGACTTTCCCCACATTTGGTGGTGGTTTCCCTCTGAAATATTGGTCATGGCCACAAGGGGGCAGTGTGATGTGTATTGTCTGCTAGCTTTTTCTGTACACTAGTGACGGACGCGAACTGGCCCATTATTTTTTTCCTTTACCTCCTAATGTAATATCTAAATGACCTTTGTTTACATGTGAATAAGAACATGGCTCATGCTCTTTTCATTTAGCAGGTTAAAAAAGTGGCAGATAGTTTGAGGACAATAGAATCTTTCTGAGAAAAGTTTTTTTTTTTTAAACTGCATGATTACATCAAAGGACTGATTTTTGTGTCTGTAATATTGGTCCGATGCTTTATTTTCAGTTTTTTCTTTCATGAGAATATGCTGTAATATTCAAATATGCATAGTGTCTGCAAACCAGAAGAGGAACCTTTAGTGTAAGACACTACAGAACCTCCAGTGCAATTCAGGGTTTGAATTTCCCTCTCTCACAGTCCTCCCCTCTCTCGTGCTTCTTTTCAGTGGCCGTAACTAATGTGATAACATGTGTCTCCCTGTTCAGGGATCTGGCTGCTGACTTGCTGCGAATGATCCCAGACAACGAGATCCTGTTAGTCAAGCTCTGTGCTTTTTATCCCGGGAGCGCCAGTGAAATCAATGATCTTCGCGAAAAAGTACGGTTTGAAAATAGCCACGTTTTATGGATCTGCTGTACAGCCACGTGGCTTTTACGGAGTTCCACTCCTTTTTTGTTTACCTTTATTGATTTAATGAATGTTTCTTAAATGTTGCGAAGAATTTGAGCTGCCACATGTGAAGAAACTTCAGATAACGTTAAATGAGGTACATTTCGAGGCTGCTGGCATCACAGCCATCAGGAATGTGAATTTTAAACCACCCCCCATGATGACAGAGACCAGCGGTCCTTCTTTCGTTTATGAAGATTGATGCAGCTAAGCAACTCCCCCCCCCCACCTCTGTTCCTCCAGTGCAGTCTACCGTGTTTAGAGGAGTGCAACAACTTGGCCGAGGCCGCCCTCGCAGACGAAGATACCTTCCAAGCTGTGAAGTACCTGCTTCTGAGCTCAGAGCCAGAGAGAGCCCTGCCTGTTGGGCTTGCGTTTGTTAAAGGTGAGTCTGCCTGCTCTGTTTAGGTCCTGCCCCAGCATGCCTTACATACTACGGCAAGCTTTAAGTCACTGATCTTTAAGTCCCTATACTCAGGCGTGTTTCCAGCTTGTGTCTAACATCAACTGTTGCACATCTTTTTTTAATCTCCGTTTTACTCCTTAACAGATCAACTGAGCAGCCCAGACTGGACCTTGGACTCAGTCTACCCCATTCTCGACCTCCTCAGCTACATCCGGACGGACAGGCTTATCCTTCCAAAGTGCAGTGAGTAAGTGCCTGCGTGTGGTGACTCCCCCTGCCCTGAAGGGGGCGGCAGTCCACGGGCCTCGCTCTCCGTGCCCTGGCTCACCTTGCCACACCGGCTCTCTGCTTCCAGGGAGCGCAACCAGCTTCTCATTCTGTGTGGCTACATCGGCGCCCTGCTTGCCGTGCAAAGGCAGTACACCAGCGTCGTACCGGTGCTTTACGAGTACACCAGGTATGTGCAACCGTGGGAATCACCATGGCGAAATCTGTACCGCCTCTCTGGTCTTGGTGATCAGGCCCGTGGGGGCTGTCTCATTCTGTTTTAAGGATAACGTTGTGTTTTGTAAAACTGCAAAGATATAATGGATTTTTATGTGTAACAGACCTATAACATTTTTTTTGTACTAGCATCTCAGCATCACCAGTTCAATGAAACCTAAACGCGTAGTGAATATACTAATGATGTCAGTTCTCTGAAACCAGAAAAGCCTTAGAGCTCTTTCTGGTGGTGAAGGTGTGCCATTGCGCCCCTGGGGTTCCCTTCCCACTCGCTGACCACGTGCTTTCTCACCGCTCCTCCAACCACAGCCAGCTGCTGAAGAGGCGGGAGGTGTCGGTGCCGCTGCAGATCGACCAGCTGTCCGCGGAGTTGGAGGCCTGGAGAGCGTGTACCCAGCCACCTTCCAAGTGGGTGGCTCCTGCCCCGGTGGCCGCGTTACTGCTGCGCTGCTTGGGTGTTACGGCATCAGGGTTCCTTTTCAGTGCTAATGTAGCAATTTGCTATTTACCGAGGGTGAAATCCAAGTAAGGCCTCTTGAAGAAACTGTACAAGGCTTGTGCCTTCAGGGCCAGGCTTGCGGACCATTGCTATGGGGGAAATCAACGTGTCAGCTCAGCCAAAAAGTGTTTTGGATTATAAGAGATTTAACGTAACAGCAGGAGTAGAACAAACAAGCTGTAGCCGGGCTGGTGTTTGCCGCTGCTGTCTGCGGCTGTGCGCTAACGTGGCTTCCTCATGGTCAGATGCCCCGAGGCCATGCTCGACACCCCACCGACCGAGAGCCAGAGGGCGGAGCATGCGCTGCTAATGAGCCGAATTGGGGAGGAGCCACTGAAGGGGATGGAGGGGCCTGACTACGTCACAGGATCCAACCTTCCCAGTCACTCTGATGTCCAGATCTCCTGCTTCACTGGACTCAGGATACAGGTTGGTCTGCGGCCACTGTTGTCCCATTCATCTTTCATTCTTTCATACTTCCAAACACGGATCTTGATAAACTGTACATTCATGGCTAGTGTTCTGGAACGTTCCATTGTCAGCACTTTGGAGACATCCGTTCCATTTGCTTCACACAGGGGCCTGTGTTCTTCCTCGAAGATGGGAAGTCGGCGATCACACTGAACGACGCACTGATGTGGGCGAAAGTGAATCCATTTTCGCCTCTCGGGACTGGGATGCGTCTCAATCCTTTCTGAGCACAGGCACAGACAGTCAGATATAGGCACACGCACACGCACACGCAAACACATGTGCGCAAAAATCGCGCTTGTATCTGTCTTCTCTAGAAGGCAAAGGCTCGGACAGCTTTGGACCGATCCAGGACCAAACTGTCATAGAGCAGAAGCGATTAAATTGTTTATTAAATTGTATATTTGAGTGATTTTGTGACATTTTTAAAACCAAAACACTCATTAGCTTATACACATCAGCTTAATTCTTTATGGAAAATGAGAAAACACAATTTAAATATTGTATATTTAGTTTTTTTTTCAAATATTTGTTGAATATTTAGCAAGTAATACATGAATGTAACATTTTATTGTTTTAATGCTAAAGAATCAATATATTTAATCAAACTCTTGCTGGCCCATTGTAGAGGGGACTGGGAAAGTACAGACCTTCAGTATTACCAGAGTAAACCCTGTTTCCAATGTCGAGGGTGTGTAATTTCAATATTAAAATCTGGAGTTGTGCTGATCTGATTTTAACTGTTTAGAAAGACGTCTCAGTGCTGTTTGTGTGAGCTTGCTTAAAAGTCTTTTAAGAAGTAGGCCTATAGTCAACACTTAACATAGTAGTTCAGGTGCTCACCAGCCAGCAGTGAAACAGGTACATTTCACACCTGTCATTAATGATTCACTCTGCGTTCCATTTACCCTGGAGGTTGGAAGTCAGAGCTGGGAATGACGAAACACCCAATTTAACCGTGTTCAACTACAAGAAGTCGGAAAGCCGTTCAGGAATACCAGTTCTAGCCAAGTTCATTGTTAGCCATGGTTAGCAATACCAATTGATAACAACACACTATGTTTCGCGCATAAAAACAGCATAGCAACATGTCCACAAATAGCAGTTGGACAGTACTGTGTGTATGACCTATTTAATGAGAAACAAATACGACATAAGTGCTAATAAACAATATATAACTACAGCCTTCACTTCTGTTGATGAAAGGTGTAGCCATCTTGAATTCTGAGGTCGGGGTTGTAGAGGTTCCACCAACTTACCAAGTTGGAACTTTGACTTCAGGGGTCGTTCCAGTTGAAATCTCCAACTAGGAATTCGGAATTTTCAGTTCAACACACTATTAGTTACACCTGAAATTCATGGTGAGTTTGCACTCTATCCTACTGTTGGCTCCGGTTGTACTCAAAGCCGTGCACATAGATGAGATCTGGAGCGCTCCCCCTAAGCCTGTGGCCAGGTCTAATTGAACTTGTAACGCTTTTTAATTACTCAAATAACACTGTGAGTTTATGTGATCATTGAATTTACTTGGGGAAGAACATGGCTTGGTGTTCTCCCAGAAAAATCTCGATTCATAAAGCTGTCAGTTTTGCTAGTTTCTGTTGAGCATGGTCAGCGTCCGCCGACTCCGGTTAGCAGAGGAGGACAGCCTCCATGAAGTATGCCAGCTGCTGCGTACTGAGTGCGTTACGCTTTCGCATGTGTTCTGTATATGGCTGTGAACATTACTTTTGTAGAACCAAAACAAAAGAAACGTATAGCAGAGGAGGGAGATTTCAGGTCCAGAGAGTACAAATCCAGACCAAGATTTTGTTCCAACCAACCTGTTGAGTGCTCTGTGACTGTGACTCTTTATACTCATCTGATTGGTTGAAACAAAATCTTGGTCTGGATTTGTACTCTCTGGACCTGAAATCTCCACCTCTGATGTATAGGCTATGAGGTTTATTTACCAATTTGTTATGCTGTATTATTATATATAATTTGGCTGTGCTTTGTTTCTGGGTAAGGGATGGACATAAATGCATATTTTAGCAAGGCAGCTGAAGAAAATAAACTATATTTTTCCACGAGAGAATCAGTATAGATGTTCTGTTTTACCTCGTCACAACAGAGCATCCTTAGTGCTGAAGCTTGTCATTTCTCCCGTTACATGAGTCACTACATTACATGTCAGTGTGAATGACCACTGTCAGCTGGCAAAATTACCTTCAAAACCAGGCCTTCAGTAATGCTACAATGACTAGTATTTGTGTGTGTCGTGTTATTTCCTTAATTTGCCTGTTTTCGTTATTAGTAAATGTGTTGGATCATGGAAGCTGTGCCTTAATCGAATCACACTTTAGAACATCATTTACGTTTTCGAAAACGTTGCCTATAAAAAGAAGGTAAGTATTGATAGACAGCTTCAGGAACACAGAATGTTCCTCTACAAAGATAAAGTATCGGTTCAAGAATACAATGCGTTTCTCATTTTGCACTGTGATATTTATTAATTTGTTAGTGTGTTTATGAATTTATCATTTTATGTGCGAGATGTACGTACATGTAATCAAATTCACTGTAATATACTGCAACAAATTCCTGTTGTCTAAAATTGTTTTTAAAAAATGGATGGGGTATATTTAGCTCAGTTATATGTTAGAGGCTATCCATATTTGCTATTTATCTTTGCAGCAACTTATAACACATTATTAATTTACCAGAATGCAAGCATATCAGGTGTTTCATCAGTGTTTGCCTATTAAAGCATACACATGAAAGCAGAGGAATAGAAGCTGAAGAGTGTATATATCTTTATTTGCACCTCTTTAAATATTAAGCATCTTTCCTTTATCCTTAATGTGTAAGCAAAATTACCTAAATTTTTCAAAAAGTTCCATAGCTTTTTGTACTTTTGTTAATGTTCTGTGGTTTTCAATGACGACAATAAAGACCATTGCTAATCTTTCCTTGGCTCATTACCTGTTTTAAGTGGTAGATGGCGCTGTATACATACATCTTTAGATACGTCATCTTACAGCCTGGGATCTGACTCGGAACAGCTTATACCGCGTCAGCGGTCCATGTCTGTGTGATGAGTAGTAGGTGTCGGACTGATTGTGTTCTGATTAACGGTCGTCTGATTGGTCAATGTTAAATTGCTTTGCGTTTGCATTGAGAACTGGTGTTCTGATTGGTCAGTCACTAATTGGTTGGTGTTTGAATAGCTGGTGTTCGACTAGCTGGTGTTCTATCGATCGGAAGTTTAGGTGTTGTGCTTAGATATTTATTTTGATATTTAGAAATATATATATATATATATATATATATATGTATTTATAGATTATAGCCGACAGGTTAAGCCATAGAGCATTAGTACGAGCAATTTTATAGGGTTCATATATATATATATATATAAATAAAAACAATGTGTATATATGAACTTTTTGGGGGCTTTTAGGGGATTAGTGTCTGTTTGAACGATTATTCGCACTGTTTGTGCATGCACAAGTGACCCATTTTTCTCCGTTAGGGGGTATTTAAACATTTTGTTTTTGGAAAGGCTGTTGGAATATGGCCCACAGCTAGATCCGCGAACCCTCGTTAGGAGCTGATTTTAACCCAACGCATTAATTCTTTGCCCTATATATTTTTGGTTTTTGCATGACGCTTCGCCGTGTTTATGTATACACACAAATAATTAAGGGCCCGTTTTCCGCTTTTGTGTGCATGTTAGATATTTAAAAACGTTTACCGAAAGACTTCTACAGGTTATTGCCTCTTTAAGACTTCTTAGTGTGCTCAGTTTGTTGGCATTTTGTTCGCCTCTTCACAGCATCGTTCTGTGATCATGCACGTAGTGGAATGTATAGTATAACCGCTGAGTACTTTTTATAAGAGGAAATGATCCGTATAATTCAGCCGTAGGATTACGACAGAATGCTCCCATAATTTTTTTTTAAGAAACGGCACATGAGTAAAACGAGCGCCTTCAGTATCAACCCAACGTATATTTTTTAATCGGTTGTCAGTTTATATTTAGGAACAAATTTTAACGCATTGGTTGTAAGATGACAATAAACATTGTGTTAAATCTAGAGTACGCTCTAAAGCTGTGCTTCTCCATTTTCAGCACGTACTCCTTAATGAGGCTTGATTGACATTGTTGATTAAAGTCACGTGATGCATATTTTGCAAGGAAACTGGTCCCGCTGATTTGATTGCTGGTGAAACGGCAACTCCTGAAGGACATATTTAGTGATTTCTTAAATCAGTCCTAGGGGCTAGGTTAATTGTAATTGTAAGTGCTTCTAGCTGTACAAATGACATTCATTGACTTAATGTGCGTAGTTATGTACATCGTTGAGCTTAAGCAATTCACTCTGTTCGCTGAAATTTAAGAGCGAAGCAGGGCTAAAATGAGGTGGTTTTAATGCTGAAAGTCTGTAGGACATGACTCTGTTTACACCTGGTAATGTATTTTGGTTACCACAATCATAAGTGGCAATCCTCAATTTTCAACCTGAACAGAAGGAGAACACGCAAGCCGTGCTTTTATCAAATTTTTAATCTCATGTAGCTATCTAATATATACATGCAGACTTACAACAATATGGGATGAGTAAAAAAAAAAAAGCACAATTAAATGTCCCCCATGTTCCCACATAATGATCTAATGTCAAGGTTTTCAGGACTTCCTGGTTAAAGGGACTCAGATGGTCTGTGTGTGTGTGTGTGACACTGGCTTGGTTTGTTGTGATGTCACTGGCGTGCGTGAACTGACCGTGGTGGCATACGAAATCTTCCAGGAGTGTGCACTAAAAGATGATAGATGTTTGTGTCATATGTGGCTTCTGGGAAACCAAACATGTCAAATGATTCGCGAACAACCCCAGTAACACGCTTAACCACATCTAGCATGTAGCACTGTACAGTGACTGAACACAACTGTATTCACATGCAGATTTGATACTAAAAAGCTCTGGCCGGCTGTTTGGGAGTGAGCATGACTGCTATGACATGCTATATGACTGTTTTATTTTCATCCTTGAACCTCTTATTTTTATTTTTACCCCCAGTGCTTAAATGCATTCTGTATCTTGGTTAACGGTGTATGCTGCATTGCGTACATGGCAGGGTTGAGATGGACTTGTAGCAGATGCACTTCTATGGTCGGGTCACATGGGATGAAGGGGGCGGGGTTTTAGCCGGTGATCATCCTATCTGTACTGCAGGAACTTCTTGAGGAGGGTGGGTAGCTGTAGCTGGGGAATGAGGTGGAGTCGAGAACGGCCGATGCGCTGCCTGATTGCGAGCCGACAGAGCTGGCGCAGAGGGCTGGGCATGGCTACAGAGGGAGGGGGAGGAGACAAGTGGTCAGGCTATGTGGGGCACCAGTGCAGAGCGTATGGGAGCAGGCTGAGCTGTGACGGGAGCCGCAACGCCCCCTAGGTGGCAGGCTGGAACACTGTCTGGAAATAACCTGCCTGCTTGTTTACATGGAGTTTAAGGAGGGGGAGTTTAGGTGTAACAGAAGTGACTGTTTCTCCCCGAAACAGAATGCCACACCACATGACCATTCTGCCCCATATTTACTGAGTGTAGAACAACATAGCCATGCTCTCGACACTGCTGAAAATGCATTAATGTAGTCTTTCTCAAATACTACACAAATACATATTAAACTATTTAAACATGAGTACTTAATTGCGAGAACTTTCAGCTGCCTCAAAACCGTGCTGCGGTCTACCAGAATGATTTAATGTCATGGTGTGGCCGTGGGGAGTTGGGGGGGGGGGGGGTCTGAGCATACCTTCACAGAGGAGGAGCAACCCCTCAGCCAGGCTGCTGGCGGGGGCTGCCTCCACCGGCCTCTTCAGCTCCAGGTTTCGGGAGTTGATGTTAGCACCATATTCTAGCAGTTCCTTCACGATCTCTGGGCAGTCCTTCTGGGCGGCCGCGTGCAGAGGCGTCTCCAGGAACCGCCCCTTCTGCACATTTGCACCTGCATAGCATGGGGGCATCAGGGACCATGCACTTCCCTTATTTTATCTGTTAGTATCTCCTTTCCCTGTAGAACACCCTCATGATCTTTTGGTGTAGAAAAACCCACCTGACGTCACACTCCCCACACTATGCCATCCCTTTGCCCTCTGACCCCTGACCTTTGTCCAGCAGTGTGCGGGTACACTGTAGCTCCCGGGATATGCAGGCTATGTAGAGCGGCGTTCCCAGGTGAGGAATGTCATAGTCGACATCGGCACCCCACGTGATCAGGGCCTCCACGCATGCGCTTCTACCTGGGCGGGGAAGGTGTAGATCATTTACTAAATCTCAATCTCCTGGAATGTTGCTTTACATTGTAGTCCAATATCATACTTTAATATCATACACAGCAAATGTGCCAGTGTTAATTTAACACTGCGTGGTGTTTGTGTCCACACCAATCAGTGTTAATTTAACACTTTAGTGTGCAATGAGTGTTTGATTTTACAGTTTTAATCTTTAATAGTGTTCAATTTACACCATAGGGTGTTATGTGGAGGTGGAGACTCATTGACTTACTTGCCCCATTTTAATATGCACACAGGAAGTCATGAGGATCAGAAGAGCCATCCCAGATTTACACACCATCATGAGACTCCGACCAAAAAGGACCATACAGCTTTTTCTTGTTTTATATTGAAGCTTTGTTGGCTCAGATCTTAGTGCTCTTGAAGATTAGAGAGCTGTGGTCCTGCAAGCTAAACAAACCCTTGCTCTTGGTGGTCTTATAGTATGTTGACACTGAGCCAGAGAAACTCTTGGAGACTTACAAGACAAGTCTCGAGTGGTATATATTTTAATGGTGTGAGGGTATATTTGATTGCCACTTTTGGCCTTGGATGATTGACATTATATGCAGAAAGGTGTTAGGCCAGTTGTGATACCCTTTTCTGTGTAGCTCCTGGTACCGGCCACTCCCCTGTAGACCAATGGTGCTGGATGTATATTTGCATAACATGACACAGTACTGTTTTTGACTTAGATTTTTTTTAATGTGCTGCAATTGTGATGAATTGGGCAAGAGAACAAAAACCACAGAAATAGATCATGTGGGACTTGCTCTTATGTGCTAGCCAGTGACTAGGTGAGAGGACTTGGCCTCTATGGTTTCCCATAACATTTTCCTCCCAACCATTGCCTTCTCTAGTTAAACAAATCATTTTATTTGTATTCCAAGCCTAGGCTCTCTCTAGGAAAAATATCAGCACCAGACATACCTCAAGAATTGAAGAGATTTCCTTGAAGATACAGCCTAGAAGAACGAATAACAAAATGTGGTGGAGCCTAATATCAGTACCATACCATCATCGATTGTGGTGGGTTTCCACATAATATGCCTTGGTTTCTAAAAATTAAGCTAAATGAAAATCTGAATATTAAATGAGCAAACTGATTTGATTTGTTCTTCTATCCAAAGTTGTGGGATAAAAGCAACGAGGCCAACGCCCATTATATCTCCTTTAAGGGAAATGCACTGCAACCATTAAGAGTTCTCGCCTTTTCTCACCCCTGCTAAATAATTGTTATGCTTCATAATGTGTTTGGTGACTGGTGCCATACATTGTACTCACTTTTATACCACGGGTGGTTGTCAGGGGGGCTTGACTGGTTCTTTCTTATCCTGATTGGAAAAAATCTTATTCATGCTTAAATAAAACATTCACAATGACAGTTTTCAATGTTCTGACTTGCATGAGCACAGTTCTTTGGTTATCAGGAGCTGAGCTGAAGTAAAATTTACATAAAGAGTAAAGGCCATGTTGGTCAGAGACTTGCTCATTATGGTGGGTTAGTAAAACACAGCAGCTGATGCCCAAATGAATTGAAATGAGAGTATGGGGCAGATATGAGCCACTCATTTTGTACCTGTGTCCCACCAATATGGGCTTGCAATCTGCGAGGAAGAGGTGGAGACTGTTTGACCTAACACTCTATGGTGTAAATTGAACACTAAGAGTTAATAAAGATTAACAATGTAAAACCAACCCTCACCGCACACTGTAAAGTGTTAAATGTAACACTGATTGGTGTAGACACATACACACCACTCAGTGTTAATTTAACACTGGCACATTTGCTGTGTATAGCAAAATAACAATATTCATTTTAAATTATATTGGATCTTATTTTGAGATGCAGTGATCTGAATTTGCTGTTCACTTTTGGTGAATCTTAGATCAATTCAGGCTTATTTAGCAACTATTACAAATCGCATATAGGACTACAACTCCCAGCAAGCATAACTGTGTGCACATACCTTTGCTGCTGGCCTCGTGGATGGGCGAAGGCTGGCATGGCTCCGCCTGGGGCTTGGCACCGTGCTCCAGCAGCACCTCTGTGCAGGCCACACTGCCCGTTGAGCAGGCGTTGAACAGCGCCGTCACACCATCAATGGTGGTGGCGTTCACCTGCAAAACGAGGTGTTTATGGTGACATCACCACTGTCCCACTAATGGCTGTACCTTGCAGCACTTAATGTCCCACACGGTCATTGTCAGATACCTACATTGGCACCAGCATCGATTAGTGCCCTTGCGCAGGCCACGTGATCTCCAAGACAGGCTTCGTGTAGAGGGGTCACATGGTCGATGGTGAAAATGTTCGCACTGTAGCCCTGAAAAGTAACACTCACATCAAACTAACAAACATATATAACCTGTTGCTGAACTACTTTTTACAGGGATCCGATCCAAAATTCCATACATCCTCCTACTGAACTACAAATGCCACAGATTCTCTACCCTTGGGAAACTCAATTAACCAGCAGCCCTTGAGATGGAACCCCTCCCACCTGAGACAGCAGAGTCCTCAGAGCCAGGAGACGACCTTGACAGGCAGCCTCATGAAGTGGAGAACGGTCAGCCCATGACCCTGTCAAAGAGCAAATAACATGCTTGAGTCATGATGCACAAAAAAACCTGCCTCCCAACCACTAGGTGGTGCAGTCATGATGTACTGGACTGGTGACTGAATGTTTTTCCAGTTGGATTCCTATAATGCAAAAGTACTGAACGTTAATTTCTTCAAACTTGGAGACTGAAATGGGAGCTGGGAGGATAACATGGATCAAATGTGGGTCTTTGGGGACCCCGGAATGGGAAACACTGCTCTAGTGTCTTTGAAAAAGAAAAACACTAACTGAGTAACTGCATGTTTAATTAACAATGTCCATACTACAGTGGGTGGTGGTAACTATGAGAATGATGGCCATTCATTGTGTGAAAATGCAAACCCCCAGAGCGTTTAAGTGGAGTGGACATGGCTTGCCGGGGATTCCTGCTTTGTTTCCCGTTTTATTCTGGCTGAAGGGTGCTGTTGCGCATCTGAAATGGATTTCAGTAGAGCCACAGTGACAGAGCCGCTTGGGTGACATTAGGCTCTCTGACGCATGACGTTAGAGGCCTGCTCACACTTCACAGGGGAACAGGAGCCTCTTCACACATCTGGCTCTGCAGTCGCCGGGGCAGAGTGACACTTGGCACATGTGCATCTTACATGGTGCCCCATTGCCAGGATAAGTGCATTTTCCAGTGGAACATGCACACCTGGTGCTAAGTAAATGCTACTGGCGAACTCACCGTCCCTTTTTTTTGTAGCAATGAACAACCAGTGGCAACGTGGGGTTTGAGTCCGCTGCTCTGAGCACAAAGCCATGGCATGATTAATGGACGGCATCATTTTCTGATTAATGAATTGGGTTTATGGCGTGTGCTGCTCACAGCCCACAGGAAGATGACTTAAACCAAGGTTTCTCAACCCAGTCCTCGGGGACCACCAGACGGTCCACGTTTTTGCTCTCTCCCAATTGGCAGGGAATTGGGAGAGAGCAAAAACATGGACCGTCTGGTGGTCCCCGAGGACTGGGTTGAGAAACCCTGACTTAAACACTTCCTGGGCACCACGGTGTTCTTTCGAAGTGTGTTCTTAATGCGTAGCAGTGCACCATCCGTACACAAAGCAGGCGCGAGCAGTGACATTCTCAAGAAAAATGGATGCGTCCAGACATATTTCCCTCCCTTTTTTTTTATTTTTCCCAGTCTTTCTGTAATCGGGAGATGCGAGATTTTAAAATGTAGCGTAACCTCACCTTTCCCGCCTGGCTCACGCCCGTCAACGCGATCACCGATATCACATTTCTTTCAGCGTTGGCGCTATTTTTAGAAGAGCCGCGGCTAGAGGCCACAGTCTGTCAGCTCTAAGCTCTTCCCAAAAGCACAGAATGACAAATATAAGAACCCAGGAGGCACGAGTGCAGGCAGTGATGACGAGAGAGCAGGTCTACATACCCAGATCTCCATCTCCCCAGGGAAAGTCCAGCCAGTCACACTGTAACAATCTAAACATGGCCGGCCTGCAAACGGAAGACCCGTCACCTCCCTTCTGCAGCCATCTTTAATACTTCCCCCCCCCCCCAACACAGTTATAGACATGCTATGCCTCCACAGCAAATAGGAGGTGACAATTTCCTGAGAGATTATGCTGAAAATCCTCAGTCTTTGGGGTCAAGTGTGTTCAGACAGAACCCCCATGTGCGCTGGTCTTATTCACGTCACAGGGTGTCTGCTCTGCTAACTCCTCCCCTGTTGGCTTGGCAAAGTTTATTTTATCTTCTACGGTATGGGACACCTTGGATCGTGGATTTAATTCTGTATACGTACTTGCAGGATGAAGTTAATCATTAAAGCCACGTCCATTTTTGCTTTCATTTGTGCAAAAAGAAAATAATGGAGCGGTTTTAAAGGCACATTTTCTTCCCAGAGCTAAAGGGTGTTCATACTGTTAAAACAACCAAGATAGTTATATGCTCATTGAGTACTTTTTGCACCATTGGCTGCCTAGTTGCTATAGTAACAAAAGTAGTTCCACATTGTGCCCTGGGCTTCTGAACAGAAACTTTAACAGAAATTAACTCCGTTAAGATGATCTAAGCAAAACAGTCAGTAATTGTTCAGGATGAGTGGACTAGACCTCACACAGCCTTTAAACACATGTACACAATTTCTATTGCTGTTCTAAAATGTTACTGTAGCCGTTCTAGGCTCACAATTTTGCTTCTGCGGTTTAGCAACTGGTACAAGGCCAGACTTCCCAGGTTCAGGCAATTTATATTTACACCTGTTGGCTGCCGTGATTTATTTCACTTCCTTAACATTTTATGATCCGGAAGCCGAACACTGTCAGATACTTTACAGAAGAGACTTCGTGCGCGAGCGCGTGTTCATGCATAAACAGCCCTGTGTTGCATGGTGGATCTGTGCATGAAGCTAACTCCGTCCTCCTGCCTCCGTTGATATATTCTTAGCAGGGCACAGTCACCGTCTGCCCGAAAAATGCGTTTGGGATGCAGAATCCCCGACGGGTCAGGATTCGGGTTTCGGTCACATGACCGTATTTACCCGAGCCCCCGCGCCATCTGACCCTTTCACGTGACCATGTGCCACCTGCCTTAAGGGAATATGACTTTCTGCTTTCTTTTTTTCGCCAGTCATGTACAATGCAAATGTACGGAATTCAGAGTTACTATACGATCATGTAGGAGGGAGCTGTCACGCAAATACTGTGGCCCTCTAAAGAAATACAGAAATTCCCTTGCAATTCAACGTGAATTGTGTCGCGAAGCAGCTTTTAGATAAGAAAAACACAGAAAAACATTCCACATAAATCGATGGGTAGCTTTTTACCTTACAGCGACGCTTTGTGGAGCAGATCTGTCTGGGCCGGAACAAATTAACAGGGGGTCCCATCAGCATGGTGCACCCTCCCTGTCTAATGCAGTCTATTCTGCATCACTGTTCATTTTCGCATTCAGGGTGGAACTGTCCGTACAGTCCGCCTGTCCTGTGCTCCGAGTAGGCTCCTTCTGCTAACAAGCATCGCCGAAAGTTGACTGAAACCCGCGATGGGCGCATGCAGACTGTCTGAGGACTGACCTTGGCTCGTTAAGATGCCCCAGCAGGATTTCTTCCTTGCAGGGAAACTCTCCGAGCTGTCAAGCGGCCGTTTTGCCGGCGCCCTCTCTCCACGACTGCTCTCTACACACGGCACCTCGGGCATGTTTACTTCAAGCCTGGTGTCCATGCGGAAACCTCGGCAGAGCTCGGCTCGGCTCGGCACCCCCGCGGATTGGCCGCTCGGCTGTCGCTCTGTACCGATCTCCAGCGAAGCCCGATAACGAAGCTGGCAGGGGCCACCGGGGGAAGGGGTACAAGGGGTCTATTTATAAATTCGTCTTAGTCCAGTTTAACTTGTAATGACAGCAAATGCGCTTTCATTAAATGTCGTGACGGGAATATTAACGCATCTTTCACCTTTTATCATTAAAATTTGATGGGAGGGGTGCTTTTTATAAACATGATTACCAGCTTAGCATCGCTGAAAGACTTTGCTTTAATATCATGGCATGAATATTAGCGCACCTTCCACATTATGTCATGCTACTCACCTACACGAACGATGTAAAGGCCGGCTTTGTTGCGTTTCATACCTTTACCAGCCATTCCTATATGTGCCACATTTACTTGGGCAACAATAGTACTAAAGGCTATTTCGGCTCCGTAACCGCGAGCATCTACCATAAATAGATGTCCTGCATCCTAATGATACACCCAATGAATAAATACGCACCTACAAACTACTGTTGCCCACGAATCTCGGTGTAACGGTCTAAAATTAGTAAGCTGGGTCTCAGTACCCCCGTATGATACGACCGAGCCCCGCTTTTATTTTCCTTTTCATTGTCGTTCACTTTTTCCATGCTATGCGTTGACGCTACAAATAGCCACGAGAGGGGGCTGACTTTCTATTTTAAGGCACAAACAACCTCTAGATAAACAGGCTGCCATGAAACTACGGCCGTGTCTCTTGTTGAATTGTTCCTTTTATTACTTACTACGTTTATTGTAAAACTTTGACGATGTTAGATTGTACTTTGCTAGTTCCAGTGTATTCCAGGGGAGCCATTAGCCTTGAATAAATGAGGCGAGAAGTTATTTTTGTAGATGTCAAATCTGCATTAACTGCAATCTAAATTGCATAAAAGCACAGTGTAATATGTGGTGATTTATGAATCTCTTAAAATGGCTGCTTTCACCTCCCGACTAAAGCTAAACACACATTTTCCAGCTTCCCGTCAAGTCCTGCTTTCTGACGTGGCACACATGCTGCACGTGAGCTGCTCTGTGCCACGTGTGTCTCCTGGCCTCCCTGTCTTCAGCCTTGTACATGTTGGCATCTTGTCCGAATGCAGAGGTACCTCTAAGGGCATGTGCAGTACTGCCTGCTGTTTTATATGGAGTCGCCTTTGTTAATTACCCCAGGTGCTTACGGCCCTTGCTGCAGAATGTGCTTGCGTTGACGGCCCTTGCCGTAAATGTCCCCAAAGTTGTTTGGAATGTGTAAATAAAGTGAGGTCAACAGGATTTTGTCTTCTGCATCACCTAGAGTGATGGACAGTAATCAAAATCACACATGGATGGATGGAAGAGGTAACTAGATATTGTGGACCCCATATCATACTGGGTCCCCAACCCAGACCAATTCAACTTTTTATTTAATTATTATTTATTTTTGGGGGCCCCATAGAATCATCCTACCCCCCCCCAAATACCGTCTGCTGCCTGGCCACACAATGCCCATGAATAAGATGTTGAAAAATAACCTTGTAGCATAAAGGCATCACTAATTGTTAGATACCACTAACAGAGACATTACCAGTTACAGCTGACTGGAACACCGGCATGGCGTGACCTGGGACAGGATGCAGAGGCTGACCTCAGCACGGCCAGTCGCCACAGCCTGATAAAGGCGTGAACACAATGGAAAAATGTCATCGATGTTGCCTGTGTGCAAACACAGGCTGCAGCGCCAAGTCTTTCCACCAAACAAACCCAGTGCACTCCATACAAACTGTGTTAAGTTGTACGGGGAAAGGACAAATGGAGAAACACTTAATGAAACCAGAATCAAATGGGGAATCGGCGTATACGAAAGTGTAGTCACGTCTCCCTTCCAGATTAATGCAAGTATATTCTATACGAAGATTGTAAGTCAGTTTTTTTTTTGTCGTGTATAAAGTACATTTTTTGCCAAACAGGATTAAAATGCAGCAGATGTTATGTGCTGTTGAGAATTTGGCGGATGTTTCATGACTATCCCTCTGTGAAGCAGATAATCTGTGCGCGTCAACACTCTTCCTGAGAAACGCGGCACTGAGCTTGGGACCGGGGCGCCCGGGGTCTTTGCCATTGTGACAAGTTGACATCACATCCACAACAGGCAACTTTTGGCGGCGCAGAAATAATGGCGTGCGTTGCTGTCAGACCAAGAATCCTCAACCGTGGAGGCACTGCACCAACAGACCAGGACCCGCCCGAGACGGTGGAGGGGGGGGGATACTCACTGTGCCCTTGACCGAAATCATAAAACTCCGCTGCAATGCGGGCTGCCTCCTTGCGGTTCCCTTTGACGATGTAGAAGTGCGTCAGGATGTTGAGGCTGATCTTGATAAAGAGCTTGAAGCAGAACAGGGCGAAGATGGTGAGGTAAACATTGGAAAACTGCGATCCGAAGGGCCTACTCTCCAGGATGTCCGTCATATCGCGCCTCGCTGTGAGTGTTTTGGAATGAGGAGTCTGTGGATGTGCTGAGGGGATCATATACCACTGTGCGGAATCCCGCCCCCTCCACCACCCCCCTGCCCGAAGCTGGCAGCTGGCTCCCAGACAGGGGGTGTATGATATAAACCAGCTGTACTTCCGTGCATGGACAACTGCCATGCATTGTACTGGGCTTTGTCACACGGCTGGGGCGGAGGGTGAGGGGGCACATGTTCTTTAAACTGACATGGTTGAGAGTCCTTGTATGCTCAGAGTTATCTGTGCGGAAAGAACAGGTTTGTGCAACCATTGACACTAGCTTTACTGACAAAAAATAATCCTGGAGACAAATTAGCATTTTGAGCCAGTCCATTGTCCTCCTCTAATTGCTGTGTAAACACCAATTACCCGTTTACACCCTCCAAGGGAAGGTATTTGCATTTGTTCACAACCTTCACCTACAGCCCAGAACTCTGACTCACAGAGAAACATTCACAGCAGTGACTTGATTGTGTACCTTATTCACACAAAATGTCCCACACACTGACTAAACTGCAATTACGAAAGAGAAACTGTCACAAAATGTTTTAGAACAAAAATGTGTTTTATTTGTTAAAAAATGAAATGGGGGGAAAAAACAGCCAAACAGACAGAACATTCACAGTCAAATTGAAATACAAATTTATTCATAAAACGCTTTTTACAATTGTCAAAACAAAACAGCTTTACAGAAAAAGAGTTCACTTTGATGGCCAGTGGCAGCTTTACAGTTCCTGAGTGTGCGATTGGGACACTTCATATGGAGCCGGTCACCCACTCCGTCAGCAAACTTGAGTGAACATGCAAACAGTCTGTAATGCATATATATTTTTCCCTATCAATGGTTACTAAGGGTGTTATGTACTTGGTGACTCGTGGTTCATGGTCCCCAACACTGAGTTGGCACATGGTTGTACACTTTCAGACAGCATGTGTTATTTGCACGCTGTACAGACCCAGTAATCCTGGTCCCTACATTTGGCGCAGGTGTACTTGTGACACTTTGCACAGCGAAAGTTGCTGCGATTTTCTGTTGCGTTTCTGCTGTGCCTGACACTGTGTTGTCCATATGGGTAAGGACATTGGCACAGCAGCCTCAGCAGCAACAGCGGCTATAGTAGAAGCAGCAGAAGCCTTCTCTTTCTGCATTTCCTTTTCCTGCATGAATCGCCCTCGGAGTTCCATGGCTAGACGATGCAGAAACAGTCTTCTAGTACCTGTGTACCCCGTACATGCCTTGTAGAGCACACAGGCATTCACTGCCGCCAAGTCCAGCATATTATAGAACACTGCAACTGGCCACCTGCGTGTTGCTGCTCGTACTATTTGCGTGCCATTTGGTCCAAAACATCAACACCACACTGTAAAAAAAGACAGAGAGAAAGAGAGATGAGTATGTCCTTTTTTTCTATCCAAAACAGACATGTCCAGTACAAATCAGAAAACATAGTAGCACTGCTCCAAAATTACATAATAATTATATAGAAATGCACATACCTTCATATAGTTGTAGTCTGTTATTGTGTTTGGTTTTTTCTTTCTGTCATCCCCAGGCACCACGTGTTGGTGCACTGAGCTCAGAACACACACTGTTTTCTTCGCCTTTGGAGCATAGACTGTCAACGTGACACTGCCACTTCTGAACACCGATGTGGAGAATTGTTCCCGTGCTGCAGTGTCCTTTGCTGGAGGTGGAAGCTCACGCCGAACTTTATTCATCGTGCCAAGAACAGTGGTGTCACGGTGAAGCAGTCTGTGTGCCAGTGATGCGGTGGAAAAGTTGTCTGTTGTGACATTCCTGCCCGCATCAAGGAATGGCTCCATGAGACGCATCACCACGTTCTCTGACAGCTTCTCACCTGTGAGAAATTGCTGCAAATCTATTGGTTTTTACACGCTCAGCACGGGTGTCCTTGTCAAAGCGAAGGTTTGCCATAATTCTAATGAAG